AACTGCCTCTCTTTGTGAGGCGTATGATGTTAGCTGGTATTGATGATGTTGCTACTCTCAGCTGCTGTTCCAGGTGTCGGTCAGTCTGGAGTGCAATCTACTCTTTGCGATGGTAAGTTTTAAAAAGAACTGCTTGCAGCAGTAAGTTATTTTCAACATACATGCATATTTCAATGCATGTCTCCCTGGATATTCCTGGCTGCCTGACGAGTTGCACAGGACCTTTGAGGAACCAGGAGAACAGTGATCTATGTAAATTATCTTTCTAGTTCACAGGAGTTTTATTTTTGTTTTGTGTTTTTATATGAATGAAGTGGTGGTGGTGTTGAGTCCCCTAGTTCCTTACCTCTTGAAATGTTCATTGCCTTGTGTTCGTAAGAAGCGCCACTCGCCCAGGTAAGAGCCAGGGCGCTCAGGAGTGGTCCTGAGACCCAGCTAGGCCATGGCTTGTTTGTACTGTAGGGAGTCGGGGGCTCGTGGAGAGATTACAAGGGAGAGGAAGTTGAGAAAAGACATCTCCTAGACCTGGTGCATAGCATTCAACTTTTACCCTGAGGTGTGATGTCAGTGTCTTCCTGCTTGTGGCTTCATCTCATCTTACTGGTCTTAAGGCCTCTCCCACCATAAGGGCATATCTGTGAAATGACACCCTCTTGGCCCCATTGCCCCTTCAAACTATTCCTTTCTTCTATTCATTACCAGAAAAGCTGCAGTCCACACTCAGTCTCTCCCCTCACTCTCCCCCCAATTCACCCCTTAATGCTCTGCTTTCTCTCCTCTTTGACACTGGTACCTCCATCTCCATGACATGCTGCCACAGCTTTTGTGGCAGTAGCCTCTCATGGCTTGGCTCCTCCTGCTAGGACTGCCTTTCCTAAGTCTCCTTTGCGTCCCTCCTCTCCTTTGCTTCCCTTTGAGAGGAAGATGTGACCTAGGGTTCTGTTCCTGAACCCCCAAGAGCATTCTCTCTACATTGGGCCTTCAGTTTCTTGTTGTCTTCTTAATGGACCCCCAGATCTCGTCCCCAGTCCAGACCTCCCTTCTGAACACCAGCCTGTGCTTTAGCTGCTTGTTGGGTGTCTTCACCCATGGGTGTCCCGCACTCTCACTCTGCCGTGCCTTGGCACACGCCACTCCTCCTGCCTAGAATGCTTTGACCCAGCTAACTCTTTTTATTTTATTATTATTACTTTTTTAAATGTATCTTTATTGACTTCAGAGAGAGGAAAGGAAAGGGAGAGAGAGAGATAGAAACATCAATGATGAGAGAGTCACTGATTGAGCCCGCAACCCGGGCATGTGCCCTGACCAGGAATCGAACCCCAGTCACCTGGATCCTAGGTTGAAGCTCAACCTCTGAGCCACGCCTGGCCGGGCACTTTCACTCTTTTTAAAGCATCAGGCATCAGTTCCTTTGAGGAGCCATCTCTGGTCCCCGAATCCCTCCCCAGGTCTGTGTGCATACCTTTTATTCAACAAATATCAACTGAGTGCTTCAGTGTTCCAGGCACTGTCATTGCTGCTGAGGGTGCAGCAGAAAACTTTGTCCAAACACTTACCGACCTGTATTGAGAGGTTGTGTGTATGCACCCGTAATCCATCTGCCTCTCCTTGAGGCCAGAGCTGCCTCTCATTCTGCTGGTCCTCAGCCAGTGTTTGCTGAGAGCGAATCCAATTATGCCACTTTTTTTCTTCTCTCTTCTCACTTTTCTACTGTGTGTTTTTGCTCTCTCTTACTCAGGAGCAAAACAGGAAATAGAACTTCATAATTACAAGATTAGCCAGATACAATTTCATCTCTGTTTCTGGTTTCTACATAGAGTTCCTTAAAGTTTTGAGGGGTATGATGTAAAGCATGAGTTGAATGCTTTCTTTGATGAATTTGCTCAGCTGTGGCTAACAACAAAGTTCCCCTCTGCTGTGTCCTTTGTTCAGAACTGAAGAACTCGGTTCTTCGAAAAGTCACTGGGAGAAAGGGATATTTTGCTTATATCTTATTCTACATAGTGCCTGTGTCTGTGAACCTCAAAGCATGTTGGTGGGGACAAACACAAGGTCTTCAGATGTTCTTATCTTGTAATACCATTATCCCTTTCTCCAGAAACAAAGCAACAGAAACAACAAAGCCAGATCATTTACTTTGGGGCTAGTATGGGTAGAGTTGTCAGATGAAATACAGGACACTCAGTGTAGTGACATTTCAGATAATCCACAAATACATTTTTAGTGTAAGTATGCCCAATATTGCACTGGACATATTTACACTTAACAATTATTTATTGTTTCTTTAAAATTCAACTGTCACTGGTGTCCTGAAGTTTTACTTGCTAAATCTAGCAACCCTTATTACGGCAGAAGGCAGTTGTTGGGATCAACCATTATTAGCTCTCATTTTTGGTCATGGCGATGTCTGGTGGAAGCTGCTGCTTTTGCCAACTTTAATATTAGCCCCACTTTCAGAAGGTTTCTCAGCCCTAAGCTGAGGAACAGTGAGGAGAAGCCATACTCACTTCATTGTTCCTCCTTCAACCTGGAGGTGTGACACCAGGTGTACAATGTTGCATGGTTGGGAAAAATGTGATCACAGATGGCAGCTCAGTCTTTCATCCCTGAGGTTCCTCACCTCTTGTAGAAGTGCAAGTTGTCTGATGTGGAAATATATTTAGTTTAGTTCAGCAATCATTTTTTAAGTATTCCATTTCTAATGTAGAGTGTGTTAAACTGTCTGTCTCCCAGTCTGGGGAGAAACAAAAGCTTTCCCAGTGGGGCTCAACCCCGGGTGGACATTATAATCACCTGGGAGCATTTTAAAGCCACACTGATACTTAGGACATACCCCAGAGATTCTGATTCACAGATCTGGTAGGGCCTGAACATGCCTAATTTTTCCAGAGCTCTCCCTCTGATTCTGGTGTGCAGCCAGAGTTGAGCTTCAGCATCATGTATTGTCTTGAAGTGTTCTCTGAGTGCCAGTGTGGAGGAGGAATGGTGAGTGACAGAATCTTGGCTTATGGAGTAATCACATGCAGGTTTAATTCTTGGTCATGACAGACAGGTGGGGCTTCCAAGCTCTTCCAGGAATGGCCCATGTGATCAGAAGCCCATGTGTGTGCCGACTGCATTTTAAAAATCATTGATAAGTGGGACTGGTGAGGGTCAGGTTCGGCATACTGGAATGCCTTAAATTGGACTTGAAATTTCATGGGAGCTTGAAATTTTATGGGGGTGATACTCGTGCTTATTTTCCACTTGTCATTAATTCATCATTCTGCGTGGTTTGTTGGTGTGACTTTAGTGGTGTTAATCTGGAATAGTTAAAATAATGTAAAATGGAACATAATTAAATGTAAGTGATGTCAAGAAGCCTGTCACAGTGACACGTGCTAGCAGCTGTACCACAAATGGTGGCACCTCTTCCAGGCAGTGCCACCTCATCAGGTTAGCAGGCTTATTAATTATTTGGGAGAAGCAATTAGCTTCCTCTTCTACCTTGTGACATACCTCTTTATAGTAGAGCTCCTTGGTTTTTGTTCAAATTTCTTTTCAATCTGCCCACCTCAGAGGGAAGATAGTATTTGGTCTCGCCAGGCAGTCTGAGCTTTTCTGAAGTGTAGACTTCTCTACACATTGGCCTCTCCTTCCCAGAGTGGCCTTCCATGTAGAAGCCTATTAAAATGAAGAATAATAGAGGTCATCGGATGAGCTCTTCCTAATCTCTCCTCTACCAGAAATGTCTCTGTGGCCACACAGCCCTTCTCCCCCCTTGCTTTTCTGTCCTCCTAAAGCTAACCGGCCCCAGGTCTGGAGGGTGCCCCTCCTGCTCACGTGGGGCCTTGCTCCGTCCTTCTCCCTTCTCCTCTAACTTCAAACTTCTTTCCTCTCCATTGGCTCTTACCCTTTAAGATATAAATATACTCATATTTTTTCATCTTAAAATTAAAAAATCCTAACACTGTGTTTCCTTCTGAGTACTACCACATCTCTCTTCTCAGCCAAATGCTCGCAGAGAGAAGCCCTCAGTTGCTGTCTTCACTGTCTTGCCTCCTGTTCACTTCTTCACCCCGTTGCCATAGCCGGTGCACCCCGTTTGCAGCCTTCGCGCCCTCCCGACAGCAGCTGACTGTGGGGCCGGCCGCTGGGCCACG